GTGTTTGAGAGGGGGTTTGGCATCTCCACCAAATATTTGTTCATGCTGCTGGACGCCCACCATCGTGAAGCGCGGCTAATCGCTGTGGCGACCAGTGGCTCAGCTTCACTGGATACTGCTTCCATGAGTCTTTTCTGTATCTACTGTGGTCAGTTCAAGGCCGATTGTGCCGTAGAGTTATAAATAATCACTGGAGAAACAACTTCAGATAATTCAACATTTTGTTCTTCTTTGTTTCATTCGGTGAAGCCCGGCTGGCTACGCTTGAACAATTGGGCTGTTTGTTGTTTTAATTGGGAGAACTCTCACAGCTCAGCGAGCAGTTCTGGCTTAATGATGTTTCTATCTCAGGCTTGCATCAAAGCTCAGGACTCAGAATATATTTTATGTTAAATTGTCACACAAAAGAGTTAAACACTGGACACTTATGACTGCTCGAGTGTGAAATAGCTCCATCCTATGTGCTCTGTGTAGGGATCCTTTTTACTCCCATTTAATCAAAACACTGCAGACTAGCAGAATTGACAAGCTAGCTCTTTTGCTATTCTGAGTTGGTAGATGTTTTACTCGCAAGAATCATATGCTCTGTACACACGTAGCAGGACATTTCTAAGATTTGGCCTGTCATCCACACAGAAGCACAGAAACTAGCCTAGAAATCTAGACACACAGTAGCCGAAGCAACATTATTTTGCTCTGAAAGCTGATCTAGTCGTGCTCTATAGGAGCTTCAGCTGGTCTACTGTTAGCCTGATCAGTTTAGTGTTATGCTAATCACGGCGATCTATCGGTTTGGTGGGCAGGATGCAGCGGAACAAAAAAAAACTATCAACTTTGGTCTATATAGATTTGAGCTTTTCTTTGAGTCAAGAACAGATAGCTGTACTTAAGTCCTTTATTTAGAAATCTTCTTCAACAGCGAATGGCAGACTCCCCTGTTGACTGACATCTGTAGCAGAGAGTACGTCACATTGTTTGTTGTTCAATAGCGTGCGGAGACAGTTTGAAAGACAGTCTTAGATTCCACCCCACGACTGATCTTTCTGATGGTCGTGGCCAGCCTTTATATTCACAAATATAGGATAGCTTGCCAGGCTACTGACCAGGCCATCGAAAATATTTTTTTCATAAAACTCCAATCAAAGTGAAGATTTGAAAATTCTTTGTCAAGCATTTGCTTGTGGAGGGGTTTCAGGTTTTGCAACATTACTTCCCGTGACAACAAAACTCTGCCATCACATGTATGGACTGTTTACACTGAAACAGCATGAAGCACATTTTTACAATCTCGATTACTGCTGTATGTAGAAAACGCAGGTGAAGTTCGACGTTAAGGATCTAGGGAGACAACAGGTTATTCAGACTAGGGTTGTCACGGTGTGAAAATTTAACCTCACTGTTATTGTGACCAGAATTACCACGGTTTTCGGTATTATCGCGGTATTTTTTTTAAATGTGCTAATTTTCACACAATTAAATAAACCCTGTATGTCAGGAAATATTGTCCTCAGTTTGTGTCTAAATTTTGCCTAAAATGTGTTATTTTGTAATTATGTTGTTTATTTGTTTACATTTTTCCCTTTAGTCTTTAAAATGCCAATATTTGCCTTTAACTTCTTATTTTTTGTCTGTTTGATGTCATCATTTAAAAAATATTAGACCAGATGATACTCAGTACTCAAGTAGCCTTTTAATCAGATACTTTTTTACCCTTACTTGAGTAAAAACCCTATATCAGGAAAACATTGTCCTCGGTTTGTGTCCTTCCAGTGAGCTTTGCAGATGTGGGAAAATGTCATCAGGCAGTAATCGTTGTTAAATTCATAATTATTCTCGGAGAGAGACCAACTCTTATCTGCCCCTGGGAGCCCCGTAATGCATAGCGTCATTTCAACATGGCGGTGTCCCCGACACGGTTTATATGCAGGTAGCGGCGCTGCGGCTGCTTTATATAGCGACTCGTTGCATTCTCCCTCAACCCAAATCCTCGGATCACGCATTTTAGCTAAAACGCTAACGTTAGCTTGCCTTGCGTTGACTGTAGAGTTGTGGGTGATGGTCACGCAGATGTGTCATGAGATTTGAAGCGTTGCTGCCTTTCACAGACACTTTTCCTGCACGTGCTGCAAACAGGATCGCCGTCTTCTATAAACTGTCCCTCGGCATTCTTCAAATATCCAAAAGATGCCCGTACTTCCCACTTTGTCTTCTTTGAGGGATAAAAAATGTCCTCCTGAGCGCTGCTGTCTCCTCCTTTGGCCATTATTTCAGCTTTAGCTTCAAGAAAGTTTTGGTTGTAAACAACAAAGCGCGCATGTGCCGCTGGCAACTTCAGCCGATGATACGGTGGCTGGTAAGGGTCACCGCGCCTACAGCGCAGCCACGGTAACCCACCGAGATAATATAGTTTTTAAAAACAAGACGGTTATTATTATTGTCAACGTTTTTTTACCGGGGATTACCGCTACACTGGTTACCGTGACAACCCTAATTCAGGCTGGATCAGATTTGGGGAACTGCTGCCACCTACAGGTTTAGCAGGGTGGTAGGATGGGTGTACATGGATTTTGTTTCTAAAAGTGAGGCGTTTTTTAAAGAACCCTGCTGCACGTGAACATGGCCCTACTCCCTTTCTCTCCTGGTCAACTCACTGAATCTGACTCTTAAGCCAGGATCTCACTGAGCGGCCACTGCTGGCAACACAGAGAAAACACTTGTGAGGTAGTTCGTAAAACGTCTTCAAGTGCTCACAAGGGTTCTGGATTTCCTTGGATGCGTCACAAGGTCTTATTCTAACGTAATTTTGAACATGCATGGCTTATTTCTTCTTTAAACAGCTGAAGGTGTCTCAAACACATTCGAGTGTCAGACAGTTGGGAGGGGTTTGTGACCAAATAGTGAGGTAGACGAGGCTAAATGTAAAAAAAATCTGACACCAAATGAAGACACTTTGTGACTAGATTGTGACAAGAACAGTTTTCAAGTTACTTATGTGACGATTATGTCTGGTCACATGTAGAGCATGTCACAAATGTGTCAGTTTGCACATTTTCTCGTGTTTCCAACTACACCAATCCCAGCCCAATGAGGCTTACAGAGAAAACAAAGCTGTAGGTTTCGTGTCCCTTTGTCCTCCATCCAGCTGGACATCTGTCCCCTCATCACCCCTCCTGCTCAGATCTCTCTGTCCTTCCTTTCTTTTCTGTGACGTATTTCTTGTCTGGTGAGGTTTCTTAAAACCACCTCTCCCTGACACATAACATGAAAGCCCAGAGCTGACTAGAACGTGCTCTTCTTCGCTGTGAACAAGAGCACACTATGTACCCTCTGGTGAAACTTCCCCTATAGGTTCAGTTTTAGACTTTCATTAACCCACCGGAAGCAGGCGTTGCAGATTTGCAACGTTAAAACCTACCTACCTGGTTACTCCACATACATATTTCATGAGCAGTTTTTAACTCAGAAGTACCCTGAAGGACTTAGTTGTTCGTCCTTTTATCAAAACTTAATTTGAGCCTGAGAGGGTTAAACTTTTCTCTCTAGACTTTGCAGGTTTAGATGCACCAGAAACTTTAAGGTCTGATTATAGTCATAAAAGTTATTCTAGTTGTGTACATCTGTCAGGCTTTAATTATACCGTTCACAGTTATATTTTCATTTAATAGTCAGAAATCTCCTTTTTTGTATTTAGTTTTTTCCCTTTAGCTGACCACCAAACTGCCTGATTGTTCTGTGTTCTTAAGTGGGTAATGATCTAGCGGTGATCACCGGAGCATCACACCTCCTTCTGCTGAGGAGGTTCTACCCCAGTACATTTAGGAGTCCCCAGAAGGGTTTGTTCAGAGTTTTAAAATAGAGGATTTTTTTACTCTATGTTGTAAATTCCCCCGACTCAATAAGATGATGACATTCTTGCTGGATTCCACAACCATAGTACTAAATCAGGCCCTTTAGGGTGTTTCTGTTGAAACTAGGCCTGTTTACTCTCTACGACCTCCTGTGTCAAGATAAAGAACAACTCTGATGCTGTTCAGACTTCTCTGATGTCAGTCATCACCACTTGTAGCGATGCATAACACGAGCTGTCTAATTATCTTAGATGTTGATCACAACATGATTCAGATATCTAAAACCAGCGCAAACCGACACACACACACACACGCGCACACACACACACACACACACGCACACCCACACACACATACGCACGCGCATGCGCACCCACACACACACCCACACACACACACACACACACACACACCCACACCCACACACACACACACACGCACACCCGCACGCGCGCGCGCACACACACACACACCCACACACACACAAACACACACACCCACACACACTCACTCACACACACATACACACACACGCACACACCCACATGCACACCCACACACCCACACGCACACACCCACACGCACACCCACACATACACCCACACACACTCACACACACGCACACACACACCCGCACGCACACACACACACACACGCACACACACACACACACACACACACAAGCGCGCGCACACACACACACACACCTGATGACGATATCATAGTATTAAACTGTGTTTTCGTGTAGCGGGCTCACATCTAACATATGTTTGTTTGTTTGTAGCTTTCTGTCTGCTGAGATGTATTTGGGAATGAAAACACCTTTATTGAAAGGTTACAGACTACTCTCTGTATGGGTTGATTAAGACTGCAGTGGTTGCTAAATAATGTGCATTAGTTCAGATTAACTCCTAATCTGATACATTAACCCGCACCATAATCCTCATCTCTATTAAGGAGGGAGGGGGTGTTCAGTTGGGCCAAGAAGCTGATCCTTAAACAAGCGTCTGGTTATTTTCTTACAGCCATTATAAATAATTGTCTAGTGCATTTTTTTTGTTTGTTTTTGTTTGAACCAGTTCCTCCTTTCCTGATTGACAAAAAAAAAAAAAAAAAAAAAAAAAAAAAAGCAACGTTTGACTTATTTTCCTTCATGTTCTAAAACAAGAAGCACCGGCTGAGTCTTGAATCAACAAGCAGAGTCCTGGTTCTTTTTCAGATCTTGAAAGGATCTTCCCGCGTTTATTCCCCTGTGCAGAAGTGAGGTCAGGTGTCGGGGGATGCCCAGAACAAGCTGTTATTGGTCTTTAGAGGATGAGTTGACCAGTGTGAGTGCTGGTTTGACTGGTTGGTAACTCTCCAACCAGTGATGAGTGATGTAAGTGGGTCGGTTGCACAAAGGGAGCACTAACATTCATTTTGCCCATGTTGCAAAAATATTTTTATCACATGCATCGTCAACATCAACACTGGCGCTTCACCTATAGTTTCCACTGGTACTGTAGAAAAATAAATGTATGGAAAAATGTGTTTGTCTTTGTTTGTAGTTTCAGTTTGGAAATAATTCTGTTCATAGCCAGAAATACAGACTTTATAATAGAGATGTACGAAAAAACAAAACTGCTGAATCAGCAATACAATGGATGACAGGCCAACTCGAAACTCGCTAGGCAGCTGTTTGTCCATCCGTGCTACCTGGTCAAGCAGCTATGAACTCATCATAGCTAGATGTTTACTCACGCTAACAGAAACAGATCTGACACTTTTACTTACAGAACCACGTTTTCAGTTTAATCAGAAACAAAAGAAAAATGCATTCTTTTGATCAACTTTGAGATAAAGAAGTGAAAAAAACAGAATGGGTGTGTGTCTAGAGGATTTTTCTGCCACGTTCTAGTGTGTTTTGTGACAGTCGGGATAAATACTAAAGCATCTGTGGTAGATGGAATCCTGACTGACCCAAGGTCAGAGAACTACCATTATATGTGACCGATGAGCTATTGTTCTGTTTCTGCCAAAATGCAATGCAAAATAAACAACAGTGAAAAGGTTAATGAAATTAACATGAAATACTGTGAGATTTAAAAGTTTGGCTTGTTTTAATACTCTCCAACTAGCTGTTAGCTCATCAATCCTGTAGGACATTTTATTTCCCTCAACAGAGACTTTTCAGAAAGCTACCTACGATGAGAAAAACACGGAAAAATGCAATTAAACGACAGAAAATGTCATTAAATTAATGTATTTTGTTTATTTTCAAATACATCAGTCATATTAGCTCCATTAGTTAACCCTCTGGAGGCAGGTGTTGCAGATTAGCATCGTTAAAACCTACCTACCTGGTTACTCAACACAGGTATTTTATGAGCATTTTTGTAACTCAGAAGTACTCCTGAAGGACTTAGTTGTTTGTATTTGATCACAACTTATTTTGAGCCTGAGACGGTTAATCAGCTAACAATTTTTCTTTGAATCTCACTGCTGCGGAGCTTTGCCAATGTCTAATTTGTCATATGTTTCTTCACAATTGAATCATCATTATTGGCGTGTTTATTATGGATCTAATCTTTGTCTAGACGTGAGAACTTTCATTTTTAATGCAGCCACAAACACACGTTTTCATGTGTTTCCCTTTGGGTTCCCGATTGTTGGTGCCTGAATCTGCTGTGTGGTCGCTGAAGAGGTGCTTTTCATGGGGGTTAAATACCTTACTGGCTGGAATGGTCCCACATTGATTTGATGAGGGGGAAAACTGTAAGACTGTACATTAGAATCTCTCCATAACTCATACATTATTAATCCGATGCTTCTCCTTGTAGCTGTTGGATTGCTTCCTTGATGGCTTTTCCATTTCGCTCCAGCAAGTGCTTCTCTCAGACAGGCTCATGATGTCACTGCGACTCATCCTGAGGTTAATCAGAACCTTCATCCCGCTGCATTATTACATTTACTATCTATTTTATTAGATTTTCACACACTGTGGAGGTTTACAAACGGCCCCCTACCCCCCACCATCTGAAGATGTAATCCTCTCACGCGCAATCCCGCCTCTTCAGTCATTCCCTTAAGCCCCCTCCCTTTGTTTTCCTGCTCTCTCTCACTGTCCTCTCCCGTCGACTCACTCCACCTTACGCCTGATGGAGCAGCAAGCACGAACGCTGAGGGCAGCTGTAGACTCTGACCAAGCATTGCTCCTTTTTTCCTCTCCCGCTTCAAACACTTCTCCTACTCCTTCCAGAAGATCAGGAATTACTGGCTCCAGCTGAGCACTCTCTTTTGTTTGCGTGTGGGAGTGGGGTCAACACACGCATTGTTCCCAGCAGTCTTCTGCTGAGCTGCACTTGCTCCACTTTGGATACCAAGGTCTCCAGGATGACCTCTCCAACGTGAGCGCAGCCCCTTTTCCTCCCATCACATTCATCCAGCGGGGATCGAATGGACGTTTACTGGATTTGGATGTTTGAAAGGAAACAGATTCCTCGCTGAGACCGTGGAGAAAGATGGTGCCCCTGCAGAAAAGGGTAATGCGCGTGGAGGGAGGAGGTTGAATGTGTGTGTTGCTGTGGTGGTGTGTTCTGCTTAGTTTCTCTTTTGCTACACGTATGATGTAAATCGTGTCTGAGAACTTTAATGAGCGCCTGCGAGAGTGTGAGCTTGGTTTTATAGCGTTGAAGGGTGAGTGCAAGTGGAAAATGAAACAAGAAAAACAGAGAGCTGAGGATGACTCGTATTGTTTACCGGTAGTTGTTTGGTTTGATGTTATTTTCTCCTTAAGATCAGCTTGATTAATTAGTGATTAATCACTGAAACTGCATAACAATGCAGAGTGGAATCCCCCTCGTCCAGACCACAGCCTGCTTTCTGTGCGTGTTACAGTTTAGAGATGTTTAAGTGCTACTTTTAAAGGTGTTCAGGAGGGTTTAGAGTTCCTCGTGTCAACAGATTTCACTGTCACAAACGTACACAACCAGATTATTTCAAATGAACTAATCTTTTAGCACTAAGATTACCCAAATCTGCTGCACAACTTTGTAAATTACTGTTCACTTATTGAAGCTTTTCATCACCACAACCGCTTCCTGTGCAAAGCTTTTAGTGCAGGAAGCTTGAAGCTATCGTGCACTATGCTGCATGCTTTGCTTCGAGGATCACACAAGGCTTTTGTGCCGACACCTGCTAAAAGTGTCTCGCTACAAGTCCGATTGGCTGGACTCAGGAGGACATAATGGAGGAGAGGATGGGGGACTGTTGGAGCCAAACCAAGGTCTTTTCAAAATTTCTGGTTCATTTTTTAAATTGTATCAGCTCCACTGTTCAGTTGTACAGAAATGTGTGTGTGTGCATGCGTGCGCGCGCGCGTGTGTGATGAATTTCCCGACGTGACCTTGGCTAACTCAAGGCTCATTTTTTCCCCACAAGTCACGAGCAAATCCTGAATAATGAGTTCAGTCTGCACAGCTGCATCTGGTTATCAGGGCTGCAGACTCCTGGTGTCTGGTTTTACTGGAAGCTACACGAGTGTGTGTGTGTGTGTGTGTGTGTGTGTGTGTGTGTGTGTGACACACCTCAAACTGGTAGCACGGTATAATCACAATAAACAAGAAGATTTGAGATGTGGGCTTTATTGAATGTAGTTAAATTATTGATCCTTATCCAGTTTGTGCCAAATTTTAGAAGTTATAAGTAATCTAATCATGACTTCCTCTCTTCAACAGGATCAGTTTGACAACTTGGAGAAGCACACACAGTGGGGGATTGAATTTGCAGAAAAGTACACCAAATTTGTCAAGGAGCGATCGGAGATCGAAATCAACTATGCAAAACAAATTAGGTGAGTGCTCAAGCTGACGTGAGAGCTGAACCCAGGGTTGAAAACTGGGTTACAATACGTTGTTTTTTTTTTTTTACAGCGGAATTAGATTAAAATAAAGCCCACTTTACTGGAGGATGTGACCTACTCAAGTCAATTCTTTTTCACCTGCACTCTGATATTTGAAGATAGATGGGAAGTTCTGGATGCATCCAATCGTTTCATTCTGCAGGAAAATCTCACCTGTTGTCGTAAGCTTGTATGAACAAGAAACCAACCAGGGTTTCACCTGGATGCTTGTCAGAAACCTAATCAGTGAAAGATTGAAGTATTGGATTCCAGTACAAGTGGTACATGGGAATGGTAGGCCTGCCAGCCCAAAAGTCTGCAGCTATTCATGTCATCACAGTTTTTATAGTAATAGTGACCCACTGAACCAAGTTCAAGAGGAAGAACTCCTCTCCATCCTTGCCTCTGTTATGTCTCCTCTTTGTGAATCTGTGTGATGTTGGTGCTGGCTTGAGCTTCAGGCAAGAGGAAGTCAGGTTGTGCTTGTGTGTGTGTGTGTGTGTGTGTGTGTGTGTGTGTGTGTGTGTGTGTGTGTGTGTGTGTGTGTGTGTGTGTGTGTGTGTGTGTGTGTGTGTGTGTGTGTCTCCAAAGAGATAACTAGGTATCACCCTTATCAACCCCAGGTCTGATTCTGACCCAGATATTTCCCTCCCACCAACCACAATGCTGGCTCCGCCCCCTCCCCCCTCCCATCGCGTTTTAGTACAGTCACTGATTTTCTAAAGGCACTGATGGAGCTCGAGCAGACCTGTTGTGAGAGGATCCTTCTCCCGAGGCCTCCTGCTGTTTAGCCACAACAGAAGGCGATACCCCTCAAATCCTCCTCTTCATCTCTAAAGAGGATGGCTAATGCCTTAAGCACTGACCTCAACCACCCATTAATAACTTTGCAACACACACACACAAATATATATATATATATATATATATATATATATATATATATATATATATATATATATATATATATATGCAGTATATATAACACAATTTGAGAAATAGGTCAGCTTTAGTTAATGAGACTAACTTTAAGTGTTTAATAATATTTTAACAACATACCTAAAAATGTTCACCGTTCACGTGGGTTCAGTTTCACTTTCCTAAAGATCGTTGTCATTTCTCCTCATTTATTTTTCTTAAATTGTGACAAAAAGGCCAGAATCTGGAGAAGCTTACCCACATTAAAAGCTTGGCTTGTTAAATGAATGCAGAACAAAAATAAACACCCACAGATACGCACATATAGACATGAAGTTATTAGTTTAGACATCATCATGCCTGCAGTGTGTTCAGCTCTTCTAGCTGTGGTAGGCTGACCTTTATTAGACTTTATGCTTCACAGATGGAGCGGATGTGGCCTGCTTTCAAGCAGATGCACACGTTAGCACTACTAGGTGGAAACTGACCAAAAGATGCTAACATTTAAGCATCCTCAATTTGAGATGTTTTCAACACATTGCCTCTGTGTGCTACTTTGCTTCCTCGAACCTCATTAGTTGTAATTAACTTCACTCCAGAGATCAGATTTAATCTCTCTATTTAATCTGAGCAAAAGATACAGAGCCCTTAGATCTTATAGACTGATGTAGCTATTAGGGATGAGCGAGTACACCTTTATCTGTATCTGTATCTGTACTCGGAGTGGGCGTGGCCTAACCCGGAAGTGGGTGTAGTTTAACCGGAAGTGGGTGTGGTTTACATCAATACGTTATTTTAAGTCTGATCCGAAGTTACTATGTGTATTGTTTTTTGAAAACTATTTACAGAGCAGCCTCAGAATTGAGATTAAATGTTTTTGATCACAATAGTAGAAAATGATTAAAATATATTTAATATGAGCAAAAAATAGACAATTGTGATTAAAAAATGTAAAGAAAGAGAGAGAGTGAATAGGAAAGAGGGAGCGGATCCTGAGGAAGAGGAGAGAGAGAGGAAAAAAAAAAACCGACCGGAGCAGAGGCAGTGACTGACGCAGCATGAGCCGTTTTCAGCTTTGTCTTGTCAAATGCACCACGTACGTTACGAAAAAAGTAACTTTAAAAAGAAGCAAACTGAAGAAAACATAGGGAGTACTGAAGAAACGTGAACAGTGAAGCAAGCGCAGAGAGATCCGTTACTGTCTGTGTGTGCGTGGATGGACCGGACGCGAACTGAGCTGTGAGCTCCCGGCTGCAGAGTTTTGTGTGTAGGGAGGGGCGGGCGCTCTATGTGACTGGCCAATCACAGAGCGTGAAGACAGTCAGTTACCCAGTGAGGATTTTCCTTCAGCACGATTACAGATATTTACGAGTTTTACTCGTTTCATGATCATACTCGTCAAAAATGCTTTATCCGTACCGGACACTCGTTTCATTTGAAACGAGTGTCCGGCTCATCCCTAGTAGCTATCGCTCTGATCTTCTGCTTTTGTCTTGACTTGTGTTGTTGGGCACATTTCTCAATCTCAAAGATCGACTTTTAACAATTTTCACATCTTTCAATCAGCAGCGCTAAGTCTGGTTTTGCTCTTATCACCGCTTTCTCTCACTTAGACAGTCGGTGGTTTAGTTGGTCACTTGACAGAACAATCCTAGTCCAAAAAGGACAGAACGGACTGACCATTTACGTCACCGTACCAAAGCACCGAAGAAGCATTTGATAGATCAATAATGAAAAAGGCCTAAAGAACTAGGTCAGTTCTGGTGGTATTGATCTATTGCTTTATATATGAGCAGGCATGCAAAATAATGATAAAGCACACCCATATTTCACCCATTTAAACATATTCTCAGGCCCTAACTCCATTTTGCACCATTTCTTTAACTATACTCGTCACATATTACTCTAATCCTCGATTAATCCTCCTACCCTGTAAACACGCACAATGCTTTGGTCTAGTTGTGGCAGTGCATTAATGCCTCCTCCTCCCCAGGATCCCAGTCTAGCATAATCCATATCAAAATGGGAATCAAGTCCTGTTTACAAAAGGACTGTGTGAGGACGGAGGACAGAAAAAAGCACTGTCTGGCTGTAGTGCCAATCAACATATGTTTCCTTCCAGGGACTGTCTTGCAAAACAGTGCCACACATGTTCCTCTCTGAGTCAAATATGCATGCATGAATAAAAGTCATACCTGAAACATCCAAAGAAAACAAAAGATTCAAAATGATCAAAGTGCAAAGTGAATGCTATCAGGGGTGTACGTTCTGACTCACGTCATTTGGTTGTGAGCAAATGAATAGGAAGTGGTGCTATAATTAGACATGGGGTGAGAAGGACAGAGAGCAAAATGCATAGATAGATCTGCCTAGCAACAGCCTAAACACCACCGGGGAGTAGAGGCGTGGGGGGTGTTAGCAGAGAGAGATAAAATACTCCGCAGACCCACATTAGTGTAGTTTTTAACACATGCATTATTCATCTATAGTCAAATATCACAGTTATTTGACTGTTATCAGTTTCTAGATTAAAAGCTCATGTTTTTGGGTTTACTTATCAAACAGAAATTCTGGTAAAACATTAACACTGCTGCCGTTTGTTTGCTGTTTTCTGCATGTTTCTTTTTCCTGGACAGAGATATTTGTTTCAGCAGATTTCAGTACATATTCATATTGTGGTTTTAGTCCTTTTTTTCTCTGCTTTGGTTGAACATGAGTGGTTTTATTATTATTATTTTTTCTTTATTGTTCATTAGAAAGGAACCCGAAGGCATTAAACATCAACATGCACTCAAATCCATCAGAGGGTTGTGTGCAGTATTAGGTTCTGCTGACAGATCATGTGTGTGCCACTCCGTCTGAACGAGAGACCTTGTGACATGATGAATCGCAGCCTATACTGTTGATCATGTTGCAGGGGGTTCAGAGAGGGATAGAGTCAGACTGGGGTGACGACATATTGCTTTATAATCCAAGCAGATCTCATTCACCACCACAGATGGCACGGTGACATAGTTCCTTTATCCGTGCACAACTCTGTTGACTTTGTTTCATTTAGTCTCTTTTCTTCGCACTTATCATCCAGTCAGAATCAAAACAAGAGCAATGGCCCCTTTTAAAAGGATGGCGGCTTTCCTGGGGAGCGAAGAGGATTTAGAGGCAGCCGCAGGACTAGAGAGAACTCTTAGGATTGATAATCATTTGGCTGTTCAGTGAGGTCGGTGGCCAGGAAGTGTGCTATGATGGCTGTCTGTAAACTGCTGTGTGTGATGAAGCATTAAGAAGGACCTTTAAGGCTGAAATTTTAACTTGTTTTACAGGAATCTGTCAAAGAAATATCAGCCCAAGAAGAATTCACGGGAAGAAGAAGAAAGCAAGTAAGTTAAAAGGTTCATGTTGCATCAACATAACGCATTCAGAAAATGAGGCCATGGACACATGTAGCTGGGTTCTTATAAAACCAAATAGCTTCACTCGCCCCTCGAGGAAAAAACCTGGGGTTCACACCGCCATGGTTTCAGTGGAAAAGGCCAGTGTGTTGTGAAGCACATTCATAGACATGCCAAGCTTGTAGGAGACAGTAGTTCCCCAAATCTTTGCTGACAAACATTCCTTGGAATAACTAGGTTGTGGACAAAGCTGTATTTATTGTTGTCCTTTGTCTTTGGTCTTCTGAGCGGTAAGCGACAGCAAACACAAGTCACACACCAGTAGCGATGGGTACCGAATTCGGTACTTTTGAAGGTACCAACCGCGTTTCATAATACCGACTGAGCACCGATTCACGTCATTTGAAACGGTGCCTCGTTTCGGTACCCGTCCTTCATAACGAGAACTTGCCTAGACAGCTGCGCATGCGCAAGAGCGTTATGTCGTCGGTCGCTGCAAACGAGTTGTAAACAGAGCAGCATGGTAGAAAGAACGCACGCTAACGCTTGGGTCCACTTCGCTAAATGTGATGGGTAACTGGGTGATGATGAAACCAGTGACAACGATCTAAGTGAGACATCCTCATCTTAATCTGCTCCAGCAGCTAAATAAACTGTTTAAGATAACGTTAGCTTGGTATGTTAGCTTCCATTGCCAACATTGTTATCATCTAATGGTGCGTTCGCTTTCTCCTCGGAAATTCTAACTTCCCAGTAGGAAAAATCAAATGAAAAAGGACGGCAAAAGGAATGAAGATACACAGTAAATTTAGTTCACAGTAAAGATGTTTGCTTCAGTTTAATTATCAGCTTATAAAACTACAAGGACGATGTTAAAATACAAACAGTTGAATGTTATTTATCGTGATATTTATCAAATATGGTTATATATTGAGGAAAATATATATTTAATTATAAAAGAGAATTAAAATAATAAACACTCAAAAGTATCGAAAATTGGTACCGTTAAGTACCGGTATCGATTCGTAGGTACCGGAAATTAGTACCGGATCGATTCAAATGTCAAAAGTACCCATCCCTACACACCAGAGCACTTTTGTTGATGTGATATAGAACAGACCAGTTATTTACATCCGCAAGTGAATGCTGACTTTGGGCAATTTGCAAATCCCCCCTTTGGTCTGGGTTTTTTAGTGTTGTTTATCTTCACTTTGGTTTGGATGACAGGCCAAACTGCAGAAAAACATCTTGTGGGGTACCGGGCTGCATGTGTACATGGCCTAAAAGAACACATTTAACCCTAAATCATCAAACTCTTCCATCCAGATAATCCATAACCCTCAAATACCAAATCACTTGTTTGACCGCCCGTATTTCTCCCACATCACTTCCTGTCTGTCACCAGATACACCTTCTGTCGAGCCTTCCTGGTGACCCTTAACGAGTTAAACGACTACGCAGGTCAGCACGAGGTCATAGCGGAGAACCTGACGTCTCAGATCATCACTGAGCTAGCGCGCTACCTGCAGGAGCTCAAAACTGAGAGAAAATCGGTGAGAGGTTTTTAAATCTTGGGTGAGAGAATGTGGGTTTTGATTGATGAAGCTGTGTTGGCCTACAGGAAACTCAGTATCCCTCTTCCTCTGCATGCTCTGTGAACTGAGGTCACTGCTGAGTAAATATAGATCCAGCCAAAGGCTTACCAGACGTATAGAACATGGTAATGAATCACTTTTTATAGAACACTGTCACAGTCTCCAACAATAACCTCACATTTCCCTCTTATTACTGAAACTCTTTGCTACCAGCACAATAAACCGTTAAGAGAAGCTGTGAACTTGCATGATGTGTGGAGAACAGCCCAGCAAAACTGTGGAGTTCATGGGTGAGAGGTACCCAGATGGGAACAGTAGATAGTGAAAAATCTGTCATGAGCTTTTTGTCTAGATGGTCCAGCTGAAAAAAGTGGAGTGAAAAACTTTGAATGAGGACCATTGCAAGACATAATGACCCAAACAGTTTATGTTAACAGATTTTCTCATCAGAAGTGAATCGTTTGCTTTGACTTTGTACAGAAAGTTGTGTGATGTGTTGGTCGCGAACGAACCGGCTCTAAGAGCCGGCTCTTTGAAGTGAACGACGGGAGCCGGCTCGTCATTGGGAGCGTCCCCTCCCCTCCCCCTCCCCTCTTGCTTTGGTGAAAGCTACAGGCGATTGGTTAACATGTGTAACTGCGTGTCCAGACTGTCCACACACAGAGCAGTAGGGGCGGGGAAGAGGGAGGATCAGACTCAGCAGAGCACCTGCGGGCGGAGGGAGACGAGAGGGAATGAGGAGGAGGAAAAAGGTGAGCGAGAGAGAGGAGAGTGCAACGAAGACGGTGAGAAAATGAGCACCAGCAGTCAGAAAGTCGAGATTTCTTAAAGTGTTCAGTTATTAAATCCATAGAAATGATAAATATTTGATATATTGCATTTTTTTACATTAGTAAATCATTTTACATATAGTTTAGCATTATTTTGTTTATAAATGAACTCTAACACAACAGAAAATCTGAGGAGCCACTTGGGATCCGAAAGAGCCGGCTCTTTTTGGTGAGCTGAGCCAAAAGAACCGGCTCTCTAAAAAGAGCCGGAATTCCCATCACTATTGAGGAGCTCTGTAATGTAAACTCAGATTGTGTTGTAGCAGGTGCAAAGTAGAAAAGGGGATTTCCAGCTCCTCTGAAGGGGAATCCTCCACCCTTCCTGGGCCCAATAATATGCTCTACTGTAATTTAACTTAGCTATGGTTAGGCCGGCACGTTCACATGGCGTTAGCCAGAGTCCTCCCGCTTCTCAAGCTGCAGGAGGACACTTTGACACATCTCTTCCTCCCTGTCGCTGCCGTTTTGTCCTCCATTCTAATGTTTTATTTAAAAACATTCATTTAGGTATTTTTTGTTTGTTTTTCAGTCCCAACCAGAAAACCGTGTTTTCATGCAGCTGATCGCGCGCTCGTGTGTGTGTGTGTGTGTGTGAGTCCTGTCTAAAGAAGCTGTTTTCCTTTAACAGGCCAGTGTTTAGGGGATTTCCCTTCATAGTGCCATTTACACTATCTATTCTGAATAAAGGCTTGCTTCATTTTCAGACTTAAAACTAACATTTTCTGTTATACAGTCAGAAAGAGCGTCTTTATGTAGAAAACACAGCAGCCCTGTCTTTTAGATACTTACGATGGATGTCATACAGGAAAGCTTGTTGGGAAAAACGAGTTCCGGCTCATTTGTTTGCTAATGAATCACTAAATTTACATTAAGTACACAGACAGGACTGCTGTTCCCAGTTTTAAATCAGAATTTTCCACCGTGCTACTCATTTCCTTGTTTCTCTCTCTCACATTTAAATGTCATTGAGCCATTGTAAGCTTCATTTGAGTACATGTGAGACAACTGCGCAGGCAGACCCAGACAGAAGGATTAGACGAGGGCCAAAGGCCTGCCCTTCCTGGGTTTTACCAGGAGCTTGTTGGGCCAATAAAATCCACACCACACACCCACAAGGAGAAATAATACCTTATTCATTTCTCATGAGGGGTTGTTTTGCAACTGCTCCCTCCTGGAGTTAACCTCTCACCAAGCTCAGGGTAAGATGGATTTGAAGCCAGGTTAAAAGGAGAACTTGGATGAAATATTTAAACGCTAATGTATGATGATGTTTTGTGTTGTGTTGTTATTTGTTTAGTAGTATGGCGAGGTTAATATGGGATGAAGAGCCTAAGTCTTGTTGGTTTGTGCTGAGAAATCATAATAAGGTGTTCACCGCTGCGCTGGGCGGGGCTTAGTTGTCCTCCATAAAGCTTGGTTTATGCTTGACGCATTTACTTTCCGCTTGGTGAAGAGGCTCACGGATGGAACGTGCTTCACAACTCGCAGCGTTTATGGTTCGTGCGGCTCGTCTCTGCGGTGAGCCAATATTCTCCCAAACTGTAGGGGGCAGCATGGAGCTCTACAGCATGCATCCAACACTACACCATAGTAGAAGTAGAAATTACTGTTTACAACACGGCATTTCAGCATTTTTAACAGCGTGCTCGTCTTTTCCGACAGTGCGAGTTATTTCTCTCCAAGAATTATTAACAACATGTTGATCACGGTGATCTCTGAGAGCTGAATCATACAAATGTCTGTATTTACGAACCTCTGCCATACTAGTTCTTGCCGGTCCGCCATGTTTGTCCGCGTCCGTCCGTCCGCGTGGTTATAAATTTTCCGAGGTGCTCGTTGCGGAAATTCTGGGCCGTGCGGAGGCGCGGTGGAGGAGCGTGGTTGTTAAAATGACGCAAAATGACGCAACTTTTCCGCGCGGAGCCGTGCGGACCTCGCGGACGCGTCAAGCATAAACCAACCTTAAGGAGGACTGATAAAGACCCTGAAACACTCATCGAACCCATTATTTCTCAATTAACTGTGATTTATATCAGGATTTGTTGCGGATGTTCCGATACAACTTTTTCACTTTCGATACGAAACCAATATTGCAGCCTTCAGTGTTGACCGACACCAATATCAATCTGATACGATATCAGAAGAAATCATACATACTTTTACCTGTTTTGTAGTGTGGAACATATGAAAGGCTTGATCAAGTGATATTAATTGGAGAACAAGAGCTAACAAGCATAAGTATGAAAAAAAAATGAAAATTTTTTCTTTACCATTGGTTGCAAAAATGTGACCCTTAATGGACTGCTTATATTGGAGATTTCTGATGCCGTCCGATATAATCCGATACTCTGTTTTTGGGCCGATATGGAATTACTTCCGATATCGATATCGGAACGGGACATTCCTAGTATCTGTCACTTTTAGGTTAGTTCTACTTCTTCTTTCTACTTGGACTCTAATCTCAGAACATGATTGCGTTCCTCATCTTTGGCGGAGGTTGTGAGGTAATATGTTTGGGCAAAAAAGAAAAGGAATCTTCCACACCTGCTGAGGCCAAAACAAGGAGATGCATTTAGTGAAGGTTCAACACAAGCCATAATGCACAATGAAAAGCATTTAGCTGTTTTTAGGGAGAAGATAATGTCTTCATTAATCTCCAGCAGGGGCGGATCTACAAGGGTGGCATAGGGTGGCAGTTGCCACCCTAAAAGAAAGCTTTGCTACCCCTGCTGCCACCCCAGCTGGCAGCTATAAATTCAAGAAAAATGAAAGTTTTTCAACTCTCAGGCTCATAAAGACCTATTTGCAGTCTGCTTTGGCAGAGAAAAGACTATGAATCTAGGCTGTACTCAGCATTGAATCAAAATGGGCAGAATCTTTGGATCTCGATGAATGTGTAAATAGTTTTGCTGAGCAACATGGAAACTGCCGCATTCAGCTGTTGTAGGAAGGATATAATTTTACTATGTGTTTTATTTTCGTGATGGGCCTTTAGGCTTATTAAATGAGGACCCAAAACAAATGAATATGTAAATACTGGGAAAAGAAAAAGGAAAACATGTTTCTGAGTGAACAATAGAACCAAAGTACAATATCTCAGTGCAGTGAAATATTGTGTGTGTGTGTGTGTGTGTGTGTGTGTGTGTTGCCACCCTAGAAAAATGTTTGCCCCTCTTCTGCCACCCCATCAATAATTTTGTAGATCTGCCCCTGATCTCCAGAGAAAACGAGTGCAACCACACAGAAACATGGCCTTGCTCAAAATTCTCGGCCTCAGATTTAAGAAAAAGTAGAAGCTCTGGAAAGTTCTCTTGCAAAATAATTCATACCCCTTGAGCTAGTTTGCATCAAAGAAGAGATAGACATACCCCAAAAAACGCAGCAAAAGGTGCTTCTACGACGTTTCCAGACTTTTATTTTCTTAAAACTTTGAAAACCATCTTTAAGTTTTATTCCACGTCACAGTTACATGCTACTGTCTGTTGGTCTGTCATGGAAAATCTTAATAAAAACATTGTAGTTTGTGGTTGTGATATGCTGAAGTGGGTAATGGGGTTAGGGCTCTGTAGTTGCTGCTTTTAAACCAACATCAGCAGTAGTTTTATTAGGTGGTGCGATTCGGCTGTGTCGGGCTGCATGTGGACATTCCTGTGAATCAAGTCATGGTAATGAGTAACTAACAGCTCAGTCAGAGTATGTGGTTATTCTCATGTTTATTCCCTGACACGAGGCAACTTAAAAGACCAGTGGTGTTTTGCACAGTCGTCCCTCCCACATGTGTCAGATTGTAGAAAATGTTCTGCTTGCTTAAAATGTCACGCTTCCTGTATCTGTGCGGGACTCCTTAACAAAGGGAAAGGTGGATGTGATGGATATTTGAAATCAGCCTGAATGAAAACACTATGAGATAAACAAGCCAATAAGAAAGATAGTGAACACTTGGGATGCTTATTTTTTTATTATTATTTACATTGAAAAATGCATATTATCAAACCTCTTCAACTTTCTTGTACAAGGGAATTGTTTCTGTCTGACTACCCTCTTCTGTGACAGATCGAATACCTTCTATTAATAATAGCATTCAGGTTTAGACTCCTTTGGGTCAATAGGCTGTTGAACATTCCCATGAGCAGTTCCACTCTCCTACTGAGCAGGATCAGTAGACCGCAGAGGAGTTGGGATGGGCCGTGTAGAAGAAAAACATCTCTGGAGTGGTTTGAATCTAAACATGGAGACACAAACACCTCAGAACAGCTGCATCAGTGACTCGTCGGTTCGCTGGAAACCTGCACCCCAGATGGCCGATGGTCCATTTAATCATGTCTGAATGTAAATGTGTTTTATTTTGATTCCCTCCGCTCATCCTGCGGTCATTAGTAGTAAATCACACCGAGTAGTTTAGGAGAGCCACTGTAGCTTGTTTATTTAGAGAAAAGATAGATTTTTGTAAGTGGTGGAAAATTTAAGAGTCTTATCACCATTTTCCTGTGTTTGCTTTCTCTCATCAAACAGATATTTGAAGGTGAGGGTCAGAAGCAGCAGGCTGGTTTATCAGGAGTGCCTTGATGTCTTGTATTTGTTGGTTAAAATACTTCCTCTGAAACACCAGAACACTTCCCTATTGTACTCAGCTTCCTTAAAAACTCTGGGAAAGGAGAAGTAGGACTAGTAAAGGTAAACCATTTCTCACAAACTTCTCTCATGCCTCCCATTGTTCAGGTGGGATGAACAGTTCACGTACATCCCACCAATCATCGCTGATTTAACATCTCTGACCGGCGATGTCACAACTACTGACGTGCTAAGCTGCACACACATACCCAAAACTTCATTCTCTGCTGTTATTCTGAAGCAATCTGAGTGTGTTATTGAACATCAGCATCAATATTCAACTCAGCTCCTGGAGCTCCGCTTCTTCTGTGTGCGTAACCAGGGGATACATCACTGACAGCCAACTTTTGGTTTTAGCGTGACTCTTTTGTTTTTTGTTTTTTTGAGGGTGAATTAACTCAAACCACATGCAACAGAACAAGTATTTGTATGCACACAAGCAGCCATCTAATTTAACCCTCTGGAGGCAGGCGTTGCTGATTTGCAATGTTAAAACCTACCTACCTGGTTATTCCACATACGTATTTTATGAGCATTTTTAACTCAGAAGTTCCCTGAAGGACTTAGTTGTTCGTCCTTTCATCAAAACTTATTTTGAGCCTGAGAGGGTTAAAAGACAAAAGTTTTAGGGTTGTTTCTGTGAGTTTTCACTTTAGTGAGAAGTTGCCTTTGGTCCACACACACACACACACACATGCATGCACGCACACACTCACACACACACACACACACGCACGCACGCACACACGCACACACACTCACATACTTCTGCCATTTAAGCCACTTTATGAGGCTAAACTGAGCTTCGTACAGATACACACACCAGAAGTGTTCTGCGGGTTTAGGCTAGCAGCTGTCACTTAGCTTTGTCAAATTAAAGGTGCAGAGAAACACAATCCTTCACAATCCATCCTGTTCACTCATTTTTCTTTTGGGCAATTTATTTGGTACTCTAAGGCTGCTTTATCAGTAGGTGGCCTGTTGTTGATAAACCTGGCCCAGTTCAGACTGGGGCTTTGGTCATGTCTTTAAGTTAAACTGTCTATCCAGTTCAATTTAGTTGAATTATACAGCGTTAAATCATGAGTCTCAAGGCACTTCGCAAAGTGAACACTAACTGAGTTTAGTTCATTGTGCCAATTAATTGTAAGTTTCCCAGCAGACTGCATCAAGTCACTGACTTGTTGTGTGAGACTTTACAGCAATACCCATACTATGGAAGCATGTAGCGACAGTGGAGAGAAAAAACTCCCTTTTAACAGGAACAAACCACCAACAGAACCTGGATCAGTATGAGCAGCCATCTGCTACGACTCACTGGGGTTTGAGAAGACAGAGCAGACACACACATGCACACTCAACATATGTATCAAGCAGAGGTGTGACCAAGTCACTGCTTTGCAAGTCTCAAGTAAGTCACAAGTCTTTCTAGTCAAGTCTTGAGTCAGAGCTAAGTCAAAGACAACCAAGTCCAAGTTGAGTCCAAAGTCAATGATGTGGAAGTCCTAGTCAAGTCCAAGTCCTTAACCCTCTCAGGCTCAAAATAAGTTTTGATAAAAGGACGAACAACTAAGTCCTTCAGGGTACTTCTGAGTTAAAAAATGCTCATGAAATACGTATGTAGAGTAACCAGGTAGGTAGGTTTTAACGTTGCAAATCTGCAACGCCTGCCTCCAGAGGGTTAACTTTGAATTTTCAAGTCACAATCATCTGTCCAACTTCAATTTAATGACAATGATGAATAAATTCCAGAAATAAATCTTCTTAAAGCTTAATTTATTTGCTCCAACAAGCAGAATGTGCGACGGAAGTAGATTATAAACAAAGTGCTGCTGCATTTAGCAGTACAACATCAAACCCAGAACGAAGAATGATTTATGATTTTTGTCCATGTCGTGCCACTTTTGTGCTAAAATATCAAACACCGTAAATCCTCTAATACAGGCCCGGGCCTGTATTTTACTCAAGCTCATCAAGCTCCAGGCCTTTATTGGAAGGAGGGCCAGAATTAGAGGCAGGCCTCTATTTCTATTTGAGCAAAATGAACCACCAGTAGAATGAATAAAAACGGGGTGTGTCTATTTGAACCCATAAAATACTAGGTTCATTTATTAAAAATGTACAGTTACCATAACGTGGTATGGTTTGCATATAAAACATTAACAACAAGGCTAAATTACAGTAGGGAAATACTGTATTGTAACAAAACAATAGCAAACATACCTGTACTGCATCTTAAACGTTATTAAATACCGGTATTAGAAAAGGCAACAGCCACCTTACCGCTTCAAAGTTGAATCGTTTCGTCTCGTTTGGGTTGTAGTAAAAAATAAAATAAAAACCCTCAAATTCAATTCAATCTTTGTCCAAAAGTAAAAAAACAAAATACCGGTAATCCAATTCAGTTTAATCCTCGTCCAGTTTGATGGGCCGATGTTAAAACGTTTAGCAGCTTGCTCCCCAGAGTGTTCTGCAGCATAATCAGCACGTTCTCTTTGAACCTGATATCAAATTTTCGCCTCCTCTTCGGCTCCGCACCTACCACGGTTAAAGTTACCCTCGCGGTCTATCACTGGCAAATCAAAAGTGAGACGGACGACATAACCGCCCCCCTGTGGCACTTGCTTGTTACCACATTCCACCCGGCCACAATAAAAAAAACGGCCATTATTCACCTCCGCTGACTCCGACACCGGCCAAAATGTGATACCCGGCTGTTAATTGAATACAGGCCAATATTAGAGGATTTACGGTATGCTCAAGTCATCATCGAGTCAACAGATGCAAGTCGATTCAAGTCGCAAGTCATTGGTGTGCAAGTCCGAGTCAAATCGTACGTCTTTATCAAGTCAGGTCAGAAGTCATTAAAATAATGACTCGAGTCTAACTGGAGTCCTAGTCATGTGACTCGAGTCCACACCTCTGGTATCACGTAGTGTTTCTATGACAGCATACTTTACAATTTATTTTAGTAGAGATTCTATTTCTTAACAAAATAAAGTTATTGTCTTTAGATCTGTAATTAATTCCACAGATGAACTAGTAGTAACACATTCTATGGTTAAGAAAGTAAAAAGTCCACTAAAGTTTAAGTAATTCTGATGAGTATTTTGTGAGTAAACATGCTAACAATAAAAAACAGTGCGGTTAATATTTTAACATGTTTTAATGCAACAGCTCTCCCCAAGGCAGAAGAACCGTGAACCGTGTTTTGCCTGTATTTAGTCATTGTTTAATGACCTCAGACAAAACATTTGGAAATCACCCAGAATATTCAAATGGGTTTTAGGGGGGAACATACATTTCTGCAACAATTTTCTCTATAAACAGCAAATGCCAGCCTCATTGTTGTGCAAGAAAAATCTTTAGGGATCCCCGAGGATGAGTGGACAAACGCCTCAGTGGGAATAAGATGTTCTCTTATTAAAGTTAGCTTGTTGTCGTTTAATCTGAATTTCTTGTTCTGACCATTCACTGAGAAATACATTTGCATGTTTGTGTTTCCTGCTGAGTTTATGAAGTCAGTGAAGTCAGAGCATGCACGACCTCCCAGAGCTGAGGGAACAGCAGAAACCTTGCTGCTGGCTTTGACTCCCGGTGATAACAGTGTCTGTTTTGCATCACCACACTCTCACTGATGTCTTGTTGTGTCATTATCTCTCAGACTCTCATCCTTCTGCTTTTTACTCAAGTCAAGTAACAATATGATGGTTGTTTGAATTTGTCCTACTTTCTGTTTTCCACCTAAAGCTTCCTTTTCACAGGGCGAGTGATACTCATCCCAGCCAGTATGGCTGAGACTCCCCTATTCAAGCTGCTTCTCATTTATAATCTTTAATATGTCAAGGTCAGGTTCACCTGCTTTTAAATCCCTTGAGCTCATGAGAAAGACTGATAACATTAATCTTTCCTTCCATTCCAGCATTTCCACGATGGGCGAAAGGCGCAGCAGCAGATCGAAAGCTCGTGGAAGCAGCTGGAATCAGTGAGTGGTTCACTCTGTGCATCCCCAATCACAAACAGCTCCAAGCTAGCTTCAATCTGCCCACAGACACTTTTGACTCACATCTTCTTTATACTCACATTATGAGCTCAGTGGCCTCAGCTCAGTGGTATGAGCGCCTGCTCTGAGACTGGGAGGTTATGGGTTCAAATCCACAGTCGGGTCTTACCAAAGACTTTAAAAACGGCCCCAGTGCCGTCCTGTTTTGCCACTCAGCATTAAGGGGTTTGACTGTGTGGTTAAACCAGCAACTAGTTCCTGAGCGTGGCCGTGTCTGCAGCTCACCACTCCCCCAGGGACGGGTCAAATGCAGAGATCAGATTTCACCAGTGTGTGTGACGACTAATGGGACTTTAATATTTCTGTTGGCTGGGCATAACTGGTACTCTTCATTGCTAGTTAAAGGTCCAAGATGAAGTTTTGACTTAGCAAGGCACCCTGTCATTTAATACACCTAGGTCACAGCTAGGGGTGTGTATTGGCAAGAATCTGGTAGGGCTGTCGCGGTAACCGCAAAAATTAAATATCGCAATATGAAGAAGCCCACCGCGCTGCATCATGGGCCACTGCGATTACTGAACTTGGTTCAACTCAATGATGCATGTTGAGAAGGATGGCTGCACTGGTATCAAAACGAAACGTTACTTCGCTCCTTTGGGAGCGCTTTGGTTTTCAGTACGTCAGCTGCTGCGCAGCCACAGTCCTTGGCCGAGACAGAGCTGCAGCGGCAAAAATAAATAAATAAATAAACGCTCGGAGACCTGCTGAAGTCCCAGACAAGCACTGCTTCTACAACCGTCCTGAAGAGAGTTTGAGCCGAGCTGGAGCTCACTCGCTACCTGCAGGAGGAATGCATCCACCCTAAAGAAACCCCCCTGACATGGTGGAGCAACAACCGGGAGAGATTCCCTTTGCTCGCCAGAGTCGCACGCAAGTACGTGTGTGTGCGTTAGTGCAACGAGCGCACCATCCGAGAGGGTTTTCAGTGTTGCTGGAAATGTTGCCACCCCTCTCAGATCCTCTCTCAAACCGTATATAGTTATCATGCTGGTTTTCCTTGTAGGTAACAAGGACGTGACCGAGCTATAAAGCACCGTCATTCGTGTGTGTGAAAGTGAAATGATAGTGCCCCGCGCCCGGTACATGTAATTTTTTATGCTTGATTTTAAACAACTAAACAAAATGGGGACTTGTTTCTTATTTGTTAGATGTTGCAGCCAAATTTGCATTTAAAAGTTTAACCTTCTCCTGAATTTTGTTGTTTTTTAAGTTCAGTCGGACTCCGACTGTCGGAGAAACAAACGTTACTGCGATCTGTGTTGTTACTGCCCTTTGATCTGCATTCAGTAAAGTGTTATAAAAGAAGGCTCGGCAATTTTTTACCTTTTTTAAATGTGTAAACATTGTGTTTAGATAGTACTGCAATAAAAAAAGGGCTGCAATAATATCGCACACCGCAATATTAAGCCACCCTGAATCACCGCAGGAGGAATTCCTCAACCGCGACAGCCCTAGAATCTGGCGATACGTTATATGACTAAAAGGGGAAACATCAATACGACAAATGACGATTCTAAAAGCCGGTCAGTGTTTGCGATTTTTAAGACTGAATTTATTTGGAAAACTCAGTCCAGACGCTTTCGAGACACATCCGGTGTTATTGCCACGTCTTGTTTCGTCAGAATGAAGGCAGTAAAACCTGCTGCCACCTAGCAGTCAGAGTTTGAATTGCATAAATGTTTTCATGTAAATAAATTAAAAAAATACACGCTGCTTTAAAAAATCTATTCAGCGTCATGACAGGAAGTATTGCAAAATTTCAGTCTATCGAAATTTTCTTACATCCCTATTCTTCGCCGTTGATTCTTTTCTCAGTGTTATAGATGAATCCATGATTAGCCTTTGCCAATGACGAGACGCCAGACCCGACGTTGAAATTCGGGGTAAACGAGGATGCATTTTGAGGATCCGTTGAATTCGTACAGCCTTGACAATTTGCTGTGGCGTACAGGTGGAAGTTGTAAAATGAGAATATGCTGCGAAAGTCCTTTCATTTCAGTTATTCAACTCAGACTGAGAGACCATCTAAAGGCTCAGGAACCCATTGCAGGTGTTTAGGATCCATCAGCTGATTAGAGTGTGACACTTTAGAATATTGAACCTTTTCACAATATTCTGATTATCTGAGATTTTGAATTTGTGGTTGTTATAAGCTGTAAACCAGAATCATCACAGCTATAACAAATAAAGGCTTGAAATATCTGGCTTTGCATGGAATGAGCCTATCTCCTGTATAATGGCATTTACACACTGGCATCGGCTCCTCTTCATCCGGAGTGGGCCGGGAGTGTTGTAGCCTTGGATTTTCCCACCCGCAACGGGGCATGTTTTCAGCCCTCTTCCTGAGGTGGTCTGCCTGAAGCTGAACAGGGCAGACACACTCACTGCCGGCTGATTGGCTGGTTCAAAATCACACCTACCATTAAGGGGAGCCTCTGATTGGCAGTTAGAATCACATCATTCTGGATGCTGTGGAGATAACAAGCCTCTGACTGAAGCCGTTTTACTCACTGCTGTGAGGAACACACACACACACACGCACGCACGCACGCACGCACGCACACACACACACACACACACACACACACACACACACACACACACACACACACAATGTTGCAAGTCACAGCAAAGCAGGATGCAAAATCAGAGTAAAAGAGTCTATAAAACCCAGACTGCTCAGGCTGATTTTGTTTAATAGTGGAGAAAGTGCGGACTTCTCTGCACTCTTTTGCCCCGCCTACGTGCTTAGAGGTGTGCTCATGTTATCACAAGCCGCAGACCGCCCATTTGCTCAATCACGTCCGTTCCTAAGGCAATATGGAACGAACATGGCCAGCCTGGGATGGGCGAAACAGAGTGGACTGGACAGTGGAGCTGATGCTGGTGTGTAAGTGGGATTAGTGTCATGTTTTAAGTAGAATTACTGGAATAAATTAACGTTTGCACCATTTTCTAATCTTTCGGTCTTAAAATTAATCTTCAGAAGGATGCAGCCCCCGGATCGGGACACAGCCGGTGTTTTACCATGCACAGTGCTAACTGAAGGGTCAATGATGAAAGAGAATTATTGGACTATTCATTTCCACATGAAGTCGTCATTAAAACCAATGATTTCTTCCCAATGACGAAACAAGAACTAAAACGTTTCAAGTTCTCTCTTCCAGTGAAAAATTAAGATAGAAGCCAAATGGTTTTGTTCTGAGCTTCTAGCGGAGCACAACCCCCCTCTGAAAGTCTGAGCAGCTCTCTGGATGACTACGTTCGAAGCATACGTAAATCCCCCAAAACGTTTGATTCATTTTGATTCCGTCAGGTGTGGGCTGGGTTTTGTTTTTTAGTAAAACTAAAGAAAGGTCAGTTAAAAATAAAAAAACATGAGCAGCTTGTTAAACGTTTAGAGTTAAGTGATTTTGGAACCTGAGGGATGGATTTAAGATCAAGTGTGATGAGAAATCAATCCAAATTCTAAAATGATGAATGACCCGCTCTTGTAAAGCACCTTCCAGAGTCAGAAGACTCTAAAGCGCTTTATACTACAGTGTACCATTCATCCATTCACACACACGTTCACACACTGGTGGGGATGAGCTACAATGTAGCTACAGCTGCCCCAGGGCGCACTGACTGAGGCAAGGCTGCTGAGCACAGGCGCCACCGGTCCCTCCGACCACCACCAGCAGCCAAGGCGGGTTGAGTGTCTTGCCTAAGGACACAACAGCAGAATTCTCTGTCCGGAGCCGGGATCGAACCTTCGATTACTGGACAACCCGCCCAACCTGTTGAGCTCCTGCTGCCCCAAATCAAAATCTGACTGTCTTCAAGCTCAAATCAAAGCTATAGACATTGGCGGTTTTAAACAGGGGCCCACAGGGGCCTGGCCCCCTATAGAACTGGCCCTGGCCCCTGTTATGGCCCCTGTGCTGAAGAGATCGGATTTTTTTCCCCGCGCTGCCTCGGAGACGGGAACTAATGCGCTGCAGCGTTTCAAACAGAGCCTTTAGAGCGCAGCACACTCTGTGGACAGAACTGTTTACCCGGTGGATTTTTGAATAAAAGATTAAGAATAGTTTAAATGGGACCCAAAGAAATTCTTGAGGACGACTAACGGAAAAGACGCTGAGAGACGAAGGCAAGCAATACAGTTTATTTTCCTGACATCAATGAATTTCCTTTGGCAAAATTGTGCACAAGCACAAAATTAGTCATATGGTGACGACAAAAAAGAATTTTGATATTGCACTAATTTTTCCCTTTTTTTTTCTTGCGCCCCCATGAAAAAATACTGGCCACACTGTGGCACCCCTGGAAAATTTGGCCTAGAACCGCCCCTGGCTATAGATGCTAATATTTTGTGATCCAATGCAACAGATGTTGGTGATTAAAGAGCACCATAAATCTGCTGCTTTATTCAAATTCACTGCTGAAACAATTAAAACCACCTGATATTTTAAGTCCCGCCCCCTCACACGCTCAGTAGGAGCAGGGTCACGGAAAGCTGAGGAGGCACAGACAGGAGGGCCTCGTTTATCTGGAATCCTACAGGCTCCTCGTGTTCTGGCTCCACCACTCATCTCAAACCAAGTGCTGTTGAGGATTTTGGACCTGGAGAGGTCCACACAGGTGTTCAGGGAATCCAAGATGTTGTGATTTATTTGTTTTAATGGAGGACTTTAAGAGGAAGTTTCACCGAGCACCACCTCTCATCTCTGCCTGGCCCCTTTGACCAGGGAGAGGAATGCATAACTGCCTCTGTCCTCCTCCGACTTCCCAGTCTCAATGATGCCATTGTGTGTGAGGCGGAGAGGCACAGTTCAGAGTGCAGGCTGGCCCTACAAACACTGATTGTTCAGTCACAGCGCCGGATGAATGGCTGTTTTTCTGTCCACTGAAGGCCGCTATGAATATTTGTTTATTCTGCAGACGTTGGCGAACCCTGTTGCTGTGTCACTGTGCACAAAGCTGTTTATAAGATGTTCATGACGTACATAAGTCATGGTGTGCATGTTTCTAAAAGGTGTCGTTTCTACATGGTGTCGTTGCATTTCTCATTAATCAGGTTTCTCCTTGTTTCAGTGCAAAAGGCGGTTTGAGCGGGACTGTAAAGAGGCCGACCGAGCGCAGCAGTACTTTGAGAAGATGGACGCTGACATTAACGTGACTAAGGCTGACGTGGAAAAGGTACGTGTCATCCAATCACACTGGCGGGTTTTTACACCCCCAGGCCTGCTTTTCACCACTTTCTGTTATCCCCTTTTATACTGTTCCCCCTCAGGCTTGCCATTTCATTAACCCAGCCCAAAGGGGGGGGGGGGGGGGGGGGGGTGTTGCGTGACCACGAGTTTGATGACAGGGATGCTGTGTGAGAGCTGGAATTAGAGCAGCCACCAAACACTGCTGGGCTCCATGGGTGTTGTGGATTAAACATCTTAACCAGATGAACCAACACGTGAAGCAATCATCCAGTTCTCACAGACCATCCTGCTCTCCCAGCTCCTCTGGGCACGCAGCTGATGTCATTTCCTGTTGTCGTGACCAATGAAACAAGCCCTGAAAAGTCCCAGCCTCTAACCCACACAGCTCCCACGCCCGCAAGGCATCATGGGTCAGCAGCGCGTGCTCCTCCTGCCGCTTCATCAGCTGCTGCAGCAGAACGCCACGTCGACACGGTTCAGTCTTGATTATCATGCATCTATAGTCTGGATGAAAGAGGCTTCCTGCGTTCTGCACGTACAGCCAAACGTCTACAAGGGGCTAACGGCAACTCAACAGCAGCCAAGAAGCTGAAAACTTTAGAAAATGTGTTGAGTTTTTCCTTAAGGCCTTCTGCCCAGGCTCAGTGTCTGTGTGAGAACGGACAGAAAACTTTATTCTTACATCTGTGCTTAAAGAAAACAGTTTTCTTCATTGCTTGATCATAAATCTAAACCAGAGAAGAAGAAGAATGCCTCCTCTTTTAGATTTGGAGATGAATATTCTGTTTTGAAAGCTTATAGATGGGAGGGATGAAAACAAAAAAACAGTTCAGTTGTGACACCTGGAACAAAAAGAGCAGATTGTGTTGTGAGACAACGTTAAAAGACACAAATAGTTATAAACTTAAGCTAGCTGAACTGTCACTGTCCATGAAGAAGACGAACGTAACACTGATATATTATGACACGTTTCGGTCCCGCACCCCCACCGCGGACTTCACTTCCAGCCTCAGTGTTTGTCAGAAACGTGACGTTCCTGTTGAGTTGAGGCTTTTGTGGTTTTGTTCAGAGCTGGTGCAAACCTCTAACCGTTTCCGCTCCACCTCTGGAAAACAAAAGCTGCAATTTGTGGTTTGGATTCACTCCCCAGATATTCAGAACATCCTTCGTATTCCTGCGAGGAACCCTCAGCCCTCTCTCACACACACACACACACACACACACACACACACACACACACACACACACACACACACACACACACACACACACACACACACACACACACACACACACACACACACACACACACACACACTCCCCTAAGTCATAAAATTTAAACATGAAACACCCGATTTCTGTGAAGTTAATGTACTTAAAGAGCAAGTCACCCCCAAATCAACTTTTTTTTTGCTGATAAACTATATAAATGAGTGTCTAATCGTGCTGCAGACACATGTTGTCAATAATTTGGTACTTCAGTGCATCTTAGTTAAAATTTTAATATTCTGCCTAAAACTGGCAGTGTTGCACCGTTGTCGGGTAAAAACTCTGCACTGTATTTGAATGTAAATCTGCCACCGCTATTGGCTAAGAGGTATGCTATGATGTAAACTGGTACATTATGATGTCACAATGCCGTTGTGAGCCTGTGTGTGTGTGTATTTGTTAGTGGCTCCGCCCTCTCGGTCTGCTAGGCAACATCATTTGTTGCATTTTTCAAACATGAAGAGGGAGTGAAGTAAGTTTCTTGTAGGGGGTGACTTGCTCTTTAAAAAGCAGCTGAATCTCAGAGCTGACTGTGATTGTGGCAACTTCTGTGTCTAAGCGATGACACATCAGGTACTTCAGGAAGTGCATCTATGGCAACGTTTTGTTTAGCTGGAAACAGCTAACAATCCTCTTGTGTGTGTGTGTGTGTGTGTGTGTGTTTGTGTATTTATTTTCCGCCATGCCTTGAAGCGAAGTTCCCATAAGGTAGGTCCAGCGTGGAGCAAACCCTTTTATATTTGTGGAGGACACACACTGTCTCGACTTGTGTCTCACAGACACACAACCTCAACCAGGCCTGTCCTGTCTTGAGTGTGATCAGTGGTACTGCTGACTACGTCTCCACCCAAACCTTTATGTGTGTCTGCAGAAATAAAATGACTATTCTTGTGTTTGTATCTTTAAACAAATTTTGTTTTTGTTGATCCTGAGCGTCGTGCATTTATCTGTTTGATGGAGAGGAACAGGAAACGTGAAGTATTGCACTCAAAGCTCTGAGAAACGTTAGTGATTTCCAGAAAGGGGTGACAGGATGTGATGTTGCTGCAGTCTCTTTTTACCTGCAGCACTTCTCCATGGCATTAACGCCACCATCAGCAGCACCAGCACCAGAGCAGCGCTTCAGACCTCCGCCCAACTTTCTCGTGTTTTTTTTCCGTGTATTTTTCTGGATTTCCCCTTCCTGTTCTTGAAGATTGTTACGATCGTTACCCACCAGAGTTTTATCTGTCATCCCTCATCTGCTGAATAGCTCTGATCTGAGCTACTCCACTCTGACGTGCTCCGTTTCCTTTATGTTTCATTGCAGCGTTTGACTGACAGACGTGTGTAGGCGAAGCACAGTTCCTCGGCTGTCCCACAGTTATTGGTTACACTCCTGCGTATTTAGTTCTTGTCCACATGCATTCAGTAGGAGAAACTCTGATTGCAATCGCAGGCTTGTGAGGGGATTCTAATACTAATAATGTGTGGATGGGCAGAAATAGGAAAAGCGACTTGAGTAATTAGCATGACGACTACCACACACACTAACCCCACGTTGTCCAGTCGAGATTATCTCATCACCATCTGCTTGCTGCGGGTCGGTAGCAAGCCTCTCCTGCTTGCTTTATAGTAGCTAGCTTAAAATAATCAACGTTATTGACCGTAGACTCGGACCAGATTGGTGAGTCAGTTAAAATCCAAATCCCTTCATTCTCAATCCAATGCAATCTGCTTTTATTTAAAAATGACTTAGACCTGACCCACATATGATCGTATGCTCAACATCGTTACTGCTACCTGCCGTTCACCTGTGTCTGCGCTTCTTGTTTGGCCGTGCACATACAAATGCTGTTGTAACTGTTTTAAATCAGGCCTTGTGTGTGTTTGGCCCATATGTCCGTGTTAATCAGAGAACGCAGAGGTTGAGTGAACACAACGTGTCTCTGATATGTGTGTTTGTGATGTCTGCCCCCCCTCCAGGCACGACAACAGGCTCAGATGAGGCACCAGATGGCTTCTGACAGTAAGAGCGATTACTCCGCCTACCTGCAAAAGTTCAACCAGGAGCAGAATGAGCATTACTACACCGTTATTCCCAACATATTTCAGGTACATACAACAGCATTATTATTATTATTATTATTATTGTGTATATTGTATATATTAAGCATAAGAATAATAATCATCATCGTCCTATCTCAGTGTCTGAGTTTAAAGCTGGTTAGGGTTGTAACACCCTGATTTATGAGTCGATTAATGGCAGTTTCAAAGTAAGTTAATCTCATGTTGGAAAACTAGCTGTGTTGGTAAAATCTTGCTCATTATCACATGAATTTACACCATTCTGGGAGTTCTATCCAGTAGTTTATGAGATGTTTTACTAACAGGCAAATCGATTTGACTTCCAATAAGCAGTTCCAAATTTTAAAGGTCTGGTTCACTGGCAAACCGATCCTCACTCTGAGTTACATTTTCATGCTGAACATGAACATTTTCTCCAACCCACATTGCCTGCGTTAGCCGCAGAAAGGAAAGAGACTTGAAAACAATCGGGTCAGAAAAAGCCAGTCTCTTCTAGGTCACATGGATAATTAGTGTTCATGGCCCCGCCCACCTTGGTTTGAAACCACAGCCAGGACAGAGCAGAGTGCATCTTAGCTAGTAGAAGCTATCCATTAGCATTAGCAATATGCCAGAATATGTTCAGGTGTGTGTTATTTATAGAGATAAAACATCATTACAGTAATCCCTCGCTACTTCGCGGTTCGTTCATTGCGGATTCGCTGCTTCGCGGATTTTTTCTTTGGAGCATTTTTCAGGGGGAATTCGCAGATTCGCGGTATTTTTCACTGATTCGCGGTATTTTTCTATGCGGAATATCAAGAAATTCTTGTTTTTTTTTCATCAATTTCATCATAAAATGCACTTTTTGTAATAAAACTAAAAAAAACCAAGTAAAAAAATTTGTTTTCTTGAGTTTTACCCACAAAAAGAGAATGTGATCATACGATAATTCAATATAGTACTGTATGTCA